AAAACAAATATCACCATTCGACTCAGCATGATGAAGTACCCCATCCCAGACTGTTTCCTAGGTGATCCAAGGTCAATTGGCTGAAATCAGGGGTCTCAGGAAAACTCTTATAACTCTTGAACGGAACAAGCTAGAAAGGCGGCCTTTTCGTAGATCGAAAGAGAACAATTTTTTCTATCAAAAACGTAAATTAGCAATCGAGCAAAGTTGAGAAACAGCTCCAGAATATCGTGCTCAACATTTCCATCGAGAATGCATCTGATTGGTCTATTGCTGACCAATCATATTTTACCATGTGCGGCTGTCCCTGGACGTTTTCTTTCTAATGGTGAAAGCCGCAGGTCGCTAGCTACATATGTTCAGGAGATATTCCTCCTTGAGTTTTCTCCATCTACTTCTGGCGCCGACATTAGGATGTGTAAAGAATACTCAAGGTGAATATCTAGATATCATTCCCTATCATAAACAATTCAATGAACTTGCACAAAAGATTTCTGCTTCAACGAATGCATATTTAGCGGTTTCTCACACTAGTCTTGGTTTGATGTATCACAACATAGGTGACCATTCTAATGCACTCTCACATTATCAAAAAGCACTGGATATAAGCCAAAAAAACCTTCCTTCAAATCATTCACATTTAACTACTTCTTACAACAACATTGGTTTGGTGTATTTGGACAGAGGTGATTATTCAAATGCGCTTTCATATTATCAAACAGTAGTGACAATCGAACGAAAAATCTTCCTTCAAATTCAAATCATTCTGATTTGGCTACTTGTTATAACAACATTGGTTTAGCGTATCACAACATAGGTGATTATCCCCTAATACACTTTCATATTATCAAGAAGCACTGGAAATTCAGCAAAAAAATCTTCCTTCAAATCATCCTGTTGTGGCTACTTGTTACAACAACATCGGTGTGGTGTATTACAATACGTGTGACTATTCGAATGCAGTTTCATTTTTTTGAACAGGTACTAAGAATTTTACAGCACTCAGTACCTGAAAATCATCTTCATCTTCTAGGTTTGCAGAAGAAAATCGAAAATTTTAAAAAGAAACTAGTTTGGGGTTACTTTCTTAGAGAGAATAAATGTAATGAAGAGAGAAGAGTATATTTCTTTCGTGTTCATTTGAAGGAGTGCACACAGATATAATGAAACAGTCCTATTTTGGAAAATAGTGTAACTATACACACCGATAATGTAACCAATGCATGTCCAAATGATGAACACGTATTTTAAATAAAAGAGTTTTAGGATATAATTTATGTTTAATAAGAAAAATACCTTTTTTGTCGAGTATAGAGGCATTCGATAGGCTCATAAAAAAAGAGAATTGAGAAAAGAAAAGTCTTTGATTGATACAATGAATTATTCTTTCTGATCCAATGTAATAACAATTTGATTACATGAAGAAAAGAAGAAAGAAGAAAATGCTCATTGATTGAGTGATTTATATCTACGTAGATATAATTGCATCACTATTACTTTTTCAACAGAAACAGTAATTCAACTACATATAGAAATAGTTCATCCAATTTATTAGGGAAGAATCATAGTTAAATAGCTTGAAAATGATGACTTTATCTATAACTGGAGAGCATAGTTCTTTTCTTTTTGCGTTTGTCAGGAAGAGAAATTCACAGTTGTTTGGTTTGTTTATTCATATATAGACGTAGGAATGCACCAATTCTGAACAATTCCAATTCCTAGAATTTGTCGGAATTGAAATTGAAATTGGTCGGAATTAGGGGTGTCATACTTACCGGTAAGTGGCAAGTGGTACTACTTACTACTTACTATTAGTAAGTGGTAAGTATTGTAATCATCGAATAATTATTGATTTAGCACTAATAAATGATTATGTTAATTATTGGTTATTTATTTTTGCATGGTAATCTTCATTACTTACCACTTACTGGTAAGTGGTACTAGTTACCACTTACCGGGAAGTGGCAAGTGGTACCACTTACCACTTACCAGTAATAGTAAGTGGAATAGGACACCCCTAGTCGGAATTGGTCTGAAAAAATTAGTAACCGACTGATAATTTGTCGAAATATGTGTAAAATCATTGTTTTACAAAAAACAATTCCGACCAATTTCAATTCCAAACCAATTCCGATACCAACCAATTCCAATTTTCAATTTCAGCCAATTCCACCAATTCCAAGTCAAGAATTGGAATTCGTGCATCCATATGTAGACGAGTGAGTCTATCAATTATGTATTTAACATGAAATAAAAAAGAAAGATGTTAGTGCAGTAGTGTCATTCATATGAAATGAAGTTTGAAGAGGTAAAGCCTGTGACTATGATCACTCTAAATTATTTCAAATTAATTGTTGTGTCGTTCCTTTGAATAAATTTGTTTGAGAAATGAAGTAAGTTCGAATTCAGAAATTGATGTATCAATGTATTCAACAATGAACATCGTTAAGAAAAATGTAAAAGAATAAGCATGTTGATTCGTTGGTTTTTCAATGATAGAAATTTTAGAGCTTCAAAATTGTTTTTCGATGTCTTTTAAATTTTTTACCGAATGAAAGTGAAACTATAGCTCTTTCCTTTTCTTTATTCTACTCTCAAAAAAAGTCAAAAATGACTTCTAGTTTTCATTAAGAACTATAATACTCTTTATGAACAACATTTCCTATAGGCTATCTCAAACAAGTGAATAAATGGAAATTCAATTAAAAAAAAATTCAACAATGTTTATTGTAACTAATTAGTACCAGAGACCCGCCAAACCGACGAGCTGCACCTTCTGACCTCGCCTCGTAGCGAGATGATGCAAGGTTTTCAAGAATAAGAGGAGTATGAGACGGTATGAGATTTGACGAGTTGTTCATCTCCTTACGATGCAGCTTTTGATGAATAGATGTCATAAATAGGTTTATAACACAAACTACAAAAATAGATAATGAGATCAAATGAAATATCAAAGCACTCCAAGAAAATATTCTAGTATGGCTCGCTTAACGATGATAGTTTACATAGATCATCAAGACTTATCTGATACAGGTCATCAGAGAAATTGTAATGATAAATTTAAGACTTTCTTGCACAATCCAGTGTAAAAACGACACAAAAATCGAGGAAAAGAGTGATCTAAGCGACAGTCGTATCTGCGATGAAATGCAAACTGTAGTCGCAACAACAGCCGTTTGTTGATTCGCTTACTCGACGTGTTATTAATCAATTAGACCTTTGATATCTATTCATAAATCGTTTGTGCCAACTCGATCAAAATGTGACTTTTCAATATGGTAGTCAATATTTATATTTTGTTTGAAGAAACTCTTGGCACTCAAGATTCAATTATTAATTACTTATCTTAATCATTTTATGTTGCTTTTTCATCAAACAATTCAATAAAAAATATTATTGTACTGTCATTCAAAAGACATACTCCATCAAAACACTAAAGCTATTAGATCGATATCCTAACGCCAATCAAGTATTTAATGAAAATATTGTTAAAGCCCATCTTCTTACTCGTATCAAATATTATCATTTACTATGTCCATGATATTCGCCATCTTTATCTTGTTCTTATGATGATATTCATACTTGTCTGTAGACATCAATGGCTGACAGAGTTTAACGAACTGTTTTAAATTTAAACATCAAATGAAACTTCGAATAAATGAATGAATTTCATTTTAATCAAACTTTAATACAAATGTTGCATGAACCAATATAAACACAATAAATATCTACTTAAGACTTCTTTTCGGATAGTTATAATCAATTTATTGATTTCAACTTCCATGAATCAGCTTACCACTCTTGAATACTTTGTTTCATTTATACTATTCATGTTAATTTTTGTTTGGTACTTCTTCCGATCAACGACACCACGACACTCACACTCTTTGATGTATGTTGTAAATTGAACCAATTATACGGTAAAGGTGTCGTCGATTTGAAAAATCTTTTGTCTTCTTTATGCTACTATAAACACTTTACAAAAAAAGAATTTCATCAACCTGGTAGCTGATACAAGTATCTTATACGTCTTTTCAGAATACAAGAACGTAAATTAAATGATGTATTTACGTAGCTACAACAAAATGATACTTTGTCGATTGTTTTTTTCTTTTAAATAAGATAACGCCAATGAGTTAAATCAAGTTTATCGTAAATAAAGCTCACGAATCAATGAGCATCCTTAATGTCATTTAAAATTTTCCTCGTGCAAGCTAAGAACGCTATACGTGTCTTTTTCAACAAGTTCAAACAAGAAATACACTAAAATTAAATGTTATTACACAATTTTATGTCAATTTCTCCAGTTCTCGATGAAAGTAAATATTGAAGAACGCAAATTTGAAGAGTTTTACATAGTTAAACGCCAATTACTGATAAATAAAATCAGTTTTTATTAACTGAAACAAATTGTGGCAGTTAAAACAATCGTTATCTGAAATATAGCTCTGAGAAATAAAATGTTTAAAAAAATCTAAACTTTTGTTAAACAGCGCCACCTATTTAATATTGTTGATTACAGCATAAAATTAACCAACTGAATCGATACTCGAACTCATTCTTTGTTTCACTATTTATCCCATCGCAACAGTAGGTTTTTTTCAGAATAAATGATCTGAATCATACACGCAGTAAATATTATCGAGAATAAATACGTCTCTAGGCGTGATCGGATGGACTTTTAGATTATGTTGATAAATAAAACTGTTGAAAAGCATTAGCATTATGTAATGTGAGATCATGTCTTTTGTTTTAAAGCTCCTCTTAACTTTTTTTGAGTTTAAATTAACAAACGACTAGTTTACAAGATTCATACCTTATTCAACTAAGCGATGAAAAATGAGAATTGTCCGTCTAATAGTTAAATAACTCATAGAAAAGTTTGACTATTTCATATTTGATTTCAAGAAGAAATCAAATCAAGATGAAATTGTTTTACGTGTTTTCTATTTGTAGCTTTGTAGGTGGTAAATACCTGATATTTAAAAAAACATTTCATTATGAGCATTTCTGGCAACGACGTCAAACGATGTATGTATTCTCTATGAATGTTATGTTTTTATTTCATTGAATTTTGTTTGTTTATATCCTCTAGCATCTTTTCCCGTTGGTGAATCAGGTACGAATGTAACAACTGTAACATTCGGCCATCGTTCCGGTAAATTATTGGCAACCGGTAGTGATGATAATGCCATACATATTTATTTAATTGGTCAACCAACATCATTACTTGCACGTTAATTTTGTGTTTTTTTTTTTTTAATATTTTGATCTAATGTTTGTTTAGACATCACGATGTCAAACAAGTGCTATAAGTGCATTAAGATTTTCAAATGAAGAAAATTTATTAGCATCAGGTAGCCGTTCTGGTGCAGTAAAAATTTGTGATCTTGAAAGTCAAAAAGGTAAACAATGCATTTTATTTAAACTAAACTCTGAAAACATTTGTATAATCTTAGTAATATATCCTGGTGGTCATAAAACATGTATTCGTTCAATTGAATATTTTCCATCAAGTAATAATTTTCTAGCAACAGGTGCTGTTGATGGTACAGCAAAGGTTTGTTAATACGAAATCTTTTTTCTCAATTATTTCTTAATTTTACCTTAGCTTTGGGATCCAAGACGAAAAGGTTTTATATTCAATTATAAAGGACATAATGGAGCTATAAATGCATTAAAGTTTTCTCCCGATGGCCGATTTTTAATTACTGCTTCGGATGATACAGCTATTCGAGTAAAAGAATTGTATATATATGTATGTTTCAGAAATATGATTTTTTTAAAATTAGATGTGGGATGTTACAGCTGGTAAAGTACTAAAAGCATTTCAAGAACATCAAGGACCTGTATTTACAGTTGAATATCATCCAAAAGAACTTTTACTTGCATCGGGTGGTGCTGATAGGTAAATGATTTTATTTTTGAATAATAAATATAACTCATAGTTTTCTTTTTTTAGACGAATTAAATTTTGGGATCTTGAAAAACTTCAATATATTTGTGACACAGATATTGAAACATCAGCAATTAGGTGAGAGATGATAAAAATAAGTTTCGTCGTTTTTTTTATAAAACAATTTATATGTCTTCTAGATGTTTAGCATTTGAGCCAACAAATGCTAGTTGTATACTTTCGGGGTCAAATGATATGCTACGTGTTTATAATTGGGAACCAGTTCAATTACTTGATACTGTTCAAATGGGTTGGAAAAGTATTCTTGATATGACTATACATAAAGAACAACTTGTATGTCTTTATTATGGATATCTCCCTTCCGCTTTGGTCATTTCTAGTTCTCGAAGAGAAAACATGGAGCCGCATGAAACTGGGATAAACAGACAAATGTTTGAGATAAAAAAGTTTTAAACAAGACTATCTATATGACCAAATCAGGTCCGCTTACGACTTCCGTGAAACATTATTCGATCGAGGTGAAATCAGCCGTTTTCGTTTTTGACCTTCCTATCAGGATTTATAAGGCTTTGAACACCCGCACTTCGGTTCTGGGTTCGCATCTTTACGGATTTCTTTCATAGGAAAAAGGTGAAATTTTTGAAATAGCTTAAAACCATCTTTTGCAAGGGAACATATTCAACTGTCGGACATCGTTCGATTTCGCATTAAGGCTACGAGTAGGTCTCAGTAAGACTAAGAAAAGTTTATAGCGATTCGTACCCATGGTCTACTATTGAAGAGTTATAGATGTGCTAATGAAATTTTGACTGAGCATACGACACTTGAATAATCCAAAAACACAGAGTTTCGATCTGAAATTATGTCTAAAAGTATCTTTGATAGTCATTAGGCTGTTCTGAAAGTTTCAACGAAAACAAACATATCTTCACGAGACATTTGATATCTAAAAATACAACAGTTTATCATAGGAGGACACAGTAAGCGAGTTAAGCTCTTCTTAGTCTTACTGAGACCTACTCGTATCGTCAATGCGAAGATATTGTCAAAGTATCCCAAAAAATATTCACCCCAATCAGACAAAGTTAGACAAAAGTCGTAAGCGGGCTCGATGTGGTTCTATGGAAAAACTGTCTTTAAAAATTTTTTTTTGAACACATATCTTCTTATTTTAGGTGTTTTATCTCTTGGTGAGAATTTCATGCGGATCAGTCGCACATTCTTCGAAAACTCGAAATGACCCAAAAGAGAGGGGCTGTTCTTAAATCAATGCATCTTATTATAGATCTCTTTTTCTTTTTTTCTAGTTTGGAGCTTCTGTTTTACAAAATGAAGTTTGTATTGGTTCCATTTATCTTTCTGTAAGTTTTTTTATAATTAAAAGTAATATTAAACAAAAAGAAATGTATTTTAAAAGAATTTAAAAACCAAACGACGTATATCACCAGTTCGTGATTATTTTCCAAGTGATCCAAAAGCATCATCAATGGCAACTAGTACACTGTCCGGTCGACGGAGTCTATATCAAGCAATGACTGTTAAAGATGAACATGTCAAGTAATAGGATTTTTCTAATTAATTCAATTTTCTATAGAGAATTAATCTATTAGACTTAAACCCGAACCAACAAGTACCAGTAGTACTGATGAATCAAAGTCACCGGTTGCTGATAGTGTTATGATTGATAATCAAGTTGATTATGATCGAATATTTCGTGGTAAAGCACGTTTACCACGTTCGCCTAGTCATCAAGGGGTTTCAGCACAACCAACAGTTTCTTCGACATCATCATCATCATCGGCTGGATTTACTACACACACACCATCGGCAACTGAGGTTACATCAGTATCTACGTCTGTGGCAACGAAACCAAAAACTTCTCAATCTGCTTCACCGCCACCTCAAGTAATATTAATTCTTTTCTTTATTTTTAAGAATGTAAAACTTCTTTTTTGATAAAAGGTTGATATGTTAATGCCTGCTATACGAATGCCGAATCCGACAGTAACTCAAACTGAACAAGTAAAATAAATAAAAGATTTTTCTTGTTGTATTTACTTTTCTTTAGTCACGAACAAATGAACAAATTTTTGCTAGTTTATCAAAAGCTAATCAAACAATTAGTTCTGTACAGCAACAACGTAAAAGTAATTTAACATTATTAATTGATTTATCACGAAATAGTGCTACACAGGTAATATTTAATTTCAATACTTACTAGTTTACTAATCTATTTTTATGGATTTATTTTAGACAACTTTTCAAGCAATTATTGCTTCAAATGATCTTTCACTCGAATGTTTTTTATTACGTTTTGTTATTGAAAAACTAGCCAAGTAAATATATTTTTCAATAATAGATATTCATCATCATTTATTATAAAACATAAGAAGATTTTTATTTGAAGTTAGAGGAATATGTAGAAATTTTTTCTCGAAGAACAATGAAACATTCATTCAGTTAAGCGCTTTTATCTTTGTTAAAGTAACTTGATAATGAAAGTATTTTTTTGGAAATCAAATCAAATGAAAAAACAGAAAATACGAGTCCATTGACAATCCAATATGAACTGAAAAAAGGACTTTGTTTAAAGAGATGTCAATTAGGAAATAACAAAGTCTCTTCAGCATATAATACTTTGGAAAATTGCGTGCTGTATCCACTATCCATGCAAAACAGCTTACATCCTGAAAGTTTCATATCTCGAAGTGATATTGTTGAAAACTTGTGAATTCTTTTATGGAAGCATGAGAACAATGTATAGTAGTCATTGAAATCTAAAGAATCCGTTTGAGGAGACGGTATGCCTGATTAATGTCGAAAAAAAATGTCGAAAGGAAAAATGTCGAAAAGTAAAAATGTCGAAAGGAAAAATGTCGAAAAGTTTGAAGACTGCAAGAGTAAGATCTTAGTAGTGTTAATGTTGTAGGGGAAAGGAGAAATGGGCGAAACTAGTTTTTTAATCATCTTATAAAAAGAATAATTTAACAAAAAATATCTAATAATCAATCATTTTTTATTATTTTTGATTGTTTTATCCTTAGCAACAACATACGATAAACCCTNGCATTATGTAGAAGCCAATTAACTATGAATACTATGGAAAAAATTCAAGTTCACAGCTTATTGCTGTTGAGATATTGTACTTTTACCGCAGTTTTTAAATGAATATCATGAACCTCTTCAATAAAACTGATTTTTGAATTTCGACTTGAAACTTTGCATAGCAACAGCACTTAATGAGAGTTGTTTTTAGTGAAAGTTTTAGATCTTGTCGTTATTCCTATCTTAAGATATAGTTAAGATAGAGACGTGTCTTTTGTATTGCTAATATATAACAGCAGATTCAACATTCTTATTACAAGATAGAACCAAATCAATGGATTTCAAACTTCCACAATAAACTACTCTGATTAAGGCTTGTCTCAATACAAAGTGTAGAATCGAATTTCCAAAATCAGTGTTCCTGACGGAGACTGACATTTATTTAAAAATTATCGGAAATTTATAGTATGTACACAGCAGCAAGCTTTGAGCTCGAACTCTTTTGAGGGGATATTCGAAACTCATTTAGTCTATATGATACACATAGTGCTAGTTGAAAAGCAATTAATTAGTTGGAGCACTTTTTTCTTGGATTTAAGAGCCACTCGAAATTCGGCTACTAATATACCCTACACTTATCTCAGACAATCTTAATGATGATATTATAATAATCAAAAAAATAATTGTCTGTTATTTTTCCAGTATGGCCTGTTGAATCAACTCCGAGACCAGCCCGATGGGCATTAATTATGACAGACATACAATTGATCATTCACGTCATTATTTGTTTGATTTGTTCTTAAACTCACAAGAAAAATTACACTATTGAAAAATTACTTCTATCATAATGCTATTGACTTAACTGAATATGTTTTTCTATTACTGAATGGGAAAAGTGGAAAATGTGATATAAGATATAAACGACTTTAGGAATTTTTAGTTTCAAGATTGAATATTTCTTTCTTGAAAAAATTATTTTTTAAGAGATTCATTAAGAGCTTACTTGATAATGATGTTTCAATATTGATAGCTAATGACGATGGACCACAATCAAAAGAATTACAAATGGCAACTGATACAAAATATTCTGTTGATAAATGAAGATTACTAAGAATAAGAGTTGAATTTATTGTTTCAATTGTTATTAATGTTGACATATCTAAAAAAAGAATTACATTTTATGAAAAATATTTTGTTTTATTCTTACTATAATTTTCATAAATAGTAACTGCAAATGTTCGAAATTTTCCATTAAGAAATTGAAAATCATGATTGTCAAATGTCCACGTGATACGAACAGATGACATATTTAATAATGTTACTGTTAAATCTGTTATGGTAGCAAGGGGAACTTAAATAAAAGCCACTATAATCTTTAGTTTTATATAAGCAATATTAAACTTACCACTTTCCAATGTTTGTATAGTTAATGGTTTTGATTTAGGACTTGCTCCTAATTCATTCATTGCATAAACAAGAAATGTATATTGAGCAAAACTTTTTAAATTATTAATAGTAAATGCTGTTGAATCATGTTTAAAAGTTTGACTAATACTTTGATTATATTCATCGATTATTTCGATAACATATTCAATAAATGAATCATTGCATAATTGAAATGATGGATACTAAAAGAAATTACTTAACTGTATATCAACTTATATAATCTTTACTATTAACTCTTCATCGTCCTTAATCATTGAACTGACCATTAACGAAATATGTCACGCAGTGAACTTTATAAACTATCTAATTGATAAGAAAATAATTTATCTTGTATTATTTCATCTTCGAAAAAGATGAGTTAGAAAATCGATAAATTTGAAAGAACTGCAAAAGTTAAATTTTTTTCAATGAAATGTTCTTCTATCAACAAACAACATATATAATAATGAAAATGTCTACAAATAGTACTAATACCATTCGAAAGTAAAAAAAAAAGAAAACTTAGTAGAAAACAGCATAAAACTTGTTCACATAACATAACATAGTAGGGCAGATCATTCTGTACAAATCGGGATGTCACCGATCGCAGTGTTTTATTTAGTGTGAGAATCGAGGAGACGGTGCTTCTTCAAAATTCAAGTTGCCTCTCCGGATGAGAAAACACTATTCGAAGTCTCTACGACATTCTTTTAGTCGAACGATATTAGATTTACGAAAGGTCTCACAAAGAAACTCATCCGACTGATAATCTCTGCTTGAACTCATTGTATAGATAAAAATCCTGAAAGGACTCGTGCTATTAGACCTTTTTTCTCGACTTATGGTCATTTTACTGAATTTTCAATCTACTGCAAGATATCATGAGAAAAACTGCAACGTAGAGTTTCGTTCTGAAATTCTTCCCAACAATAGCTTTCATAGTATCCTACAAAAGATTGAAGGTTTAGTAAAAATGACCATAACTCGAGAAGAAAGGCTTAATGATACACATCCTTTCAGGATTTTTATCTATACTATGAGTTCTTCCTATAACTTCTAACGGGAATGATCAATCGTATCAACCTCTTCGTCAGATAGAATTTCAGTCACGTCGGTCTCCCTTCAACGGTCCCTCAAGTTCCCAAAGTACCGTCACAAATGAGCATGCCTGTGATATATCAGTCCATATTATTGATATATCGAAGAGACCAATATTCTATTATAACGGTTATATTTCATCAATGGTACTTCTGAAATCGCTATGCAGTGGTGAAAGGTTATTATTTCAACATTTTCAATAACTTAATACATTCAAAAGAGAATTTTGACATTTAGTCTACTTCATTGTTATTATAGTTAATAATGATTTTTCTTGAAAAATATAATTATAGAGAAAAAAAACAATTTATCTCTACACACCTGCCATGTTAGCATTACACTTTTTGATGAGATATTAATTGCAGTAAGATTATAGGGAGCAATAAGTAGCTCTAAATTAGAGAAGATATAAACAATGAATGTTTATCATTTGATTATTTACGTTTGATATTTGTTTGAAACTGAAGATTACTAGGTAATGATGAACCAATTATGTTAATTGCTTCAATTGATATGGATATCGTACATTTAGAATAAAGATTTTCAAATGAATAACTTGTTATATTACTATCATTAATTGTAATTATCGTTTCATTTGACCAAGATGTACCTTAATAAAAAATTAAAAAAAAGATTAAATTCAATAAATCAAATATAAATAATTTTACCTTGTTTATATCGAATATGAAGAATATATTTTAAAATTTGTCCATTGCCATCAAATGGTTTATTCCAAATAATTTGATTTGAATTATCAATAAAAATATTTTCGATTTTATTCGGTACATTTTGTACAATAATTTCAAATGTTGAACGATCTTCAGAATAATTATTTTTTGCATAACATTCATATAAACCACTATCTGACATTTGAATATTTTCAATAGTTAATGATAAATTTCTTCTATAATTATAATTTGTTTCAATTATATTTAATTTTTTTGATAAAGGATTTTTTATTTTTAATTCAAATTGGTTATCACCTTCAGCTAAACAATAAATATTTAATGTTTCATTTATTTTTATAATTTTATTTGATGTTAAAGATAAGATTTTCGATGGAATTTGTATTTTAACATAAGCTTTTATGAAATTATCACCATAGAGATTTTTTGCTTGACATATATACATATTTGATTGTGTATTTATTGATGTTAATAGAATAGGTGATGTTAATGATGTATTAATTACTTGTTTTGTTCTATCATCAATCCATTTTAATTCAAGATTTGGTTGACCAGATGCATAACAAGCAAGTGTAAATTTTTTGCCAGTTACAATAGTTAAATTTGATATTGGTTTAATAAATGGTTTTTGTCCTTCGATATTAATATGTTTAGAAAATGTAATTGATCCAAAAGAATTCTTTACTCGATATTCGTATAGACCTGTATCATTTAGATTTGATACGTGAATACGATAATGAGTAAAAATATCTCCTGATGGTAAATAATCAATTTGATTATTTGATATTAATTGTTGATCGTCTTTGTATAAATCTATAATTGGTATTGGATCAGCATAAATAGTTAAATTAAGATCAATTGAAACATGTGAAATATCTTTTGATGAAATTATAATAACATTTGAATTTGTCTGTTGATCGGGAAGGATAAAAGGCGGTGAATCTAAATATACATAAAGACAAAGTTTGTTTAGAAGAAAAATTCTACCAGATGAACATGTGCTGAAAGAATATTACTTCCGGTAATGGGATAGAATGTATACGTGCTAATGAACATTTTTTGTTTATCTTAACTGTCATTGAGAGAAGAAAAGCAAGACTTACTGATGACACGAAGTTGAGTTTGTGCACAACAAGCATTTGAATCTGAAGAACTTATGATGTAACAACATTGATACATTCCCATATGTTCTCGTGTTAGATTATTTATGGAATATCGATCATTGTTTGTTGATATTCGATTTGAATTATGATACCATTGCCATTGAGTAGGAATTGACTTTATTAAATTACTTGTACAAATTAATTTAGCTTTTGATCCAGCATTAAAATTTGCTTCTTGAACAGACATTCTACATTGAATTGGAACTAAAAAAAGAAATAATAATTTAATTATAAAAAGAAAACAAAAAAGTTCAGCTTACCATTAACTTTCAACGACATCGAAGATATCAGACGTCCACTTAATTCATCATCAATTCGGCATGCATAATTGCCGGAATCATTTGAAGATATATGTGAAAGTTGAAGAATTAAAGAATTATTATAAAGTTTTTCCGAAATATTCTCAATTTCTATGCCATTTTTCCACCAAGATATTCTTGCATGTGTTGATATGGATGATATACCACAAGGTAATTCAATAAGATCACCAGCTTGTGCTCGATATTCTGTATTATTTGGTATTGATAATTCCGGTCCAAATGGCGAACGATCTATATAGGTCATTGAGTTTTCGAAAAGTACACAAAAATAATCTTTTCAAACTAATTTTTACCTCGAACACGTAATGATTTAAATCGACTATATCTTGTATCATTATCCATTTCATTATTAGCAATACAAGCATAAGTTCGATTATCATCTGAATCTGTTATATTATGTATAATTAAATTTTTATTTGATAATAAATTATATTTTGTTTTCGGTTCTAGAATGAATTTCAACTATAACATTTTCTTCTCTTTTCTTAATAAATAAACTTACGTAAATCAAGTTGAATGATTTGATTATTTACTTTTTCTAACCAACCTATTATATGTACATAAGAACTAGCTGATGGTGGTGATATTTCACATGATAGAATAGCTGATGATTGTTTATATCCATATGTATTTTTAACTTCAATTTCATATGTATCATAAATTTCTAAAGAAAACAAAACAAGTACAATACAAAAGCGGATATTATTTTTATTTCATTTCATTGCTTTAATCCATCATAACACTTTCATTGTCCGACAGGTCAATACTGACGCAATTATATTAAGTTAATGCATCAAGACAGAATTAAATTAGAAAAGTTTGCATGCTATCTCATAAGAAAACGATTAGTTGACGCTTGAATGAATTATTGTGACTTATATATAGAGAGAGCGGGACACAGATTGAATCATCTGCGCACGCTCGTTCACAAATTTCTAATTACATATTTCACTATGTGAATATTGAAGATTGTTCTTAATAGAAATAACAATTGAATCTCATTTTTTTTTATTTGCCTATAGATTCCGTTATTCGACTTCAGTTCATTCTGCCACTCGAATTCAATAATTGTATGTTGATTTAAGATTTTTTTTTTATTTTCAAGAGTGTGTGATCGATAACACCAGCAGTGCACACATACACTTCGAAAACAACTCGACCATACCCAACCTATCATCATCATCATCATCATCCGCCAGACAAGAAAAAATAATAGAAAAATGACCGCTAGTATGTCTTACGTGAACTATTACAGACATATATGTATAGAGAGAGAGAGAGGGAGGGAGAGATGTCGAGTCATCTGGTTTTTTAGTCGGACATTGTCAATAAATATTTGGACATCACGCGTGTGCATGCAAAGGCACGTCGACCAGTCACACAATGATGTTACTTTCATTCTAAACTGATTAGCAAGGATCATCTATTTACTTGAAACATTTGTACGTCACAAACAATTTACTAATTTATACGACACGCACAATCTAATCTAAACATTGAATTCACAAAAAAAAAAGAAGTAACTCATATATTGTATATTTTTCTTTGTCCTCTTCTTTCTATTTTAATTCAATATACTATATGAAATCAATTCGATATTGTACAAAATACATGTGTATATTTGAACACAGTAGGAGTTCTGATATCAAACTATGTTCTCAGTACTAATGCATAAGCACGCCTGTGTCTATATGTATTGTTCATTTAATTGAGTACACAGGGGAGAAATTGAACGAGAGAGAGAGGGAAATTTGCACAAGTGATAATCACCCGTATATACACATACACATATGCTCATTCGTTAGCACTTGTCAAGAAGTCATTCTGCACACATACTTATGTTCATCTTGATTTCCGCCTAATGATGAAGAGAAGATAATCTACTGTGGAGCGATTTATTAGCAGAATGTGTCAGTCTAATCTTACTGTCGTTGTCTCTCTTTCTGCGAATGCTAAAGTGGTAGTATGCAGGATCAGCCATATGGCTGTCTCATGTACACGACGAAACAAATAATAATGATATTGACATTTCCTTTCAAATAGACAAGCATATACTATGAACTAGACTTGATCAAATTACAATAGGGCGGGAGGTGAAATTTCAAGAATGTATGTGTCTTTTGTTTTGCCAAGAGCATATCTTAATAGATTAATAGTACAAAGGTAATTTCATCAATGTTGAACTTTCGATTTAAATTCTCTTTTTTTTTCCTATTTCTCATCATACTTACGTGGTTTAAGCTGAATCGGTGTTGTTTGTATACTACCAGATGGATTTTCTGCTCGACAAATATATTTACCAGCATGTATAGATTTTGAATAATCTCGAAATGGTCGAATAAATAAAGTACCGTTTTCAAAGACATCACTAAAGACCAAAAAGAAGAGAAAGGAAAATATTACATTCAATATAATTATTATGTGTTTTTTTTTGTTTTGTTAAATGATTATCATCAATGTTGATTAGTCTATTTGACAGGTGTCGAATAATGATTAAAAACGAATTTCCGTTGCGCTCTATCGCGAATATATATAAATATGCCTTTGAGTTTGCCGCCTTGTAATACGCAGCTGATGCCCGTAAAATGATCAATGACTAACAACTGAAAAGAAGACAAAAAGCATGATAAGATGTCTCACATGAATTCAGAAGATTGGACAAATGTTGACGGTCGATCATCACTACCGTTCGTCCGAAACCAAGTTAACACTGGTGATGGAGTACCAATAGCTGAACAATCAAGTCTGACGCCTAAATTATTATAATAAAGTTTTTGTTTCGTTGATATTATTGACACAAAGCTCGGTCCAGTAGGATGATAAATTGTTACAACACCTAAACGAATAAAACAAATAAATAAACAAAATCGTTCTTTCTCCGTATTCTTTATGTAATATTATTTAATCAAAGCTCATACTTCAGTAATTATGCACTTTTTTTCTTCTCCTTTTTTCTACTATACAGCTGTTCCCTGACTCACAGGCAGCCTATTGGGATTTTTTTTTAGTTTTTTAACATGTACACATATGTATGCAGATGAAAAGAGTTAGGTAATCGAGAATGTCAGAGAAAAGACTCATCTACATGTTTAAATAGAAAAGAAAAATGATGCATTCAGGCATAACATAGACTTCATATGAACAAGTTTCTAGTTAAAATATGACCTTGTCATTTTTTTCCATCATTTAAACATGCATTCGTTATATTTGTTAGACATATTTTGCTATTTCAGCTGGTAACATTCACTCAATAACAATGCTTGCACACGCTAATGATGCAATCTGTACTATACATATATATTCTCATCAATACAATATGCCCAATGCTCTTTTACCGAATAAATATGACAAATTATTCTATTAAATAAGTCAAATAAATGACAAAGATTTTACCTTGTTGACAAAGGACAAGACAAAGTAGAATATAAATGATTATCTTCGTTTTCATCTTGAATCATGGAAAATTATCACCATCATATTGACGGATAACATCATATAACTTGACATATAAGACACTTGTTGATACTGAATCACTATCTCTATCAATCGTACAATATGTATCAAATGTATGAGAGAAAGAGTGAGGTGAGAATGAACGAACTAAAAAGAAAAAAAAAAGAAAGAAAAAGAAATAAATATGAACACTATTTGTGCTGTTAGAATAACAAATATGAGGCTACCCAGGAGAGTATGATGGTAGTAGTGGTCGTCTTACTAGTACAGTATACTGATTGTCCCTCTTGCGTGCTCTCTCTCTCTCTCTCTCTCTCGCTCATTCTCTATGGGTCTACACAAGACAAATAAACTTTATAATATAAGAAAAGAAATAAAGAAGGGAGGGAAGAAGAAAAGTTGTGGCTGCTGCAATGCAGACCGAAAGTCAAATCATCTCTTCGTTCCTAATTAGAGACGATCGAGAAACGAGTAAGACAAAGAGAAGAAGAGAGTAGAGACGAGAAGAAAAAAACTTATGAGAACAAGAACGATAAGAAGAAAAAAAAAAGAAGACAGAAAAGAATAATACATCTTCTCATAGTTGCGCTATGAATACGAGACAACGAAAGCAAATGCAGTTCAGGGCCAACTAACGTTGTGTGCGACATCCCATTAATTCAACATTTGCCTGTCGTTATCTATCGGATTTCTTCCAAATATATAAATATATCATGATAGATATATGTATATGTATTTATGAATGACAACTTGTTCACTGCGTAACCAGCTCCATTAACTATTGTATTAGAGACTGACAAGCGACTGTTGCTTTACTGATGAGATTGCATAAAATATCGAATGGGAAAATGATGACCATTCGCTTGTCTTCATCATTCTCATTGAGACAGGCCTATCGTTTACTCTTTATATCTATATGTTTCAAATTTCAAACATACTGACGACATTTCAATGATAATCGATGAGATGGGGTTGATCAATTGAAATGAATTTTTTCTTCATCTTTTTTTCCTACCTTCGTACGATATGAATACTTTACTAGCTTTCTTTTTCTCCTTGCGGCGAATGACCATCATGTGTATATGTATGTGTGCAAGAACAAGAATGCCTAATTGCAGTCATTAGAGTGTTCTTTCTCTTTTGCTTTCGTGGTCCCAAATGGTACCATACACTCACACATATACTAAAGCTAAGATAATACGGAGAAGAGGAGTGTGTATGTGTGTGTGTCGCGTTCTTGAGATTGTGAAGATACGATGAGTATGTTTGGCGGCATGACATTGTTGTTGACACTATGCATTTATTTGCAATAAGGTTTCTTTTTCCATTGCATGTTGATGATGCTGTTTTACTATGATTGTTTCCGGCTTCATTTCTCGATCGATGAATTTTTTTTTATGGATGTACATGGTGTGAATAGTCGTAGCAAGGTCATATGTATATTGGAAGTCTTTTTATACAATACAAAAAAAAAAGAAAACGAACTAATAGAGATTGAGTATTAAAAATGACAGACGTCTAACTTGAAGTTGATAGTTCAATGACATTAAGAGAGAATAAGAGACAATGAATAAAGAGGGCGTGTACAATGAATTTGATTTTATCGAGTACAACAATGATTATTGAAATTGTGCACACATATTGTATGCAACACCTTCTGTTACTATAAGTGTTTCTATTTAAAAAAAAAGCAGCCAACACACTTAGGTGTCAATCGTTGGTATGATTGCAATGGGTCAATGATCACTGGCCATGGAAGGTCAAAAAAAATACAATAAAAAACTCACATGGTTGTGTGTGTGTGTGTGAACAAATTAGGTTATCTGACAGCATAAATAAAATACATGCAAGACGGAAGTTGATTTGCATCAGAGAACACAAGAGGAACAACTCTTGACATTCTGCCGTAGCGGAAATCGATTAGGCGCATCTATGTTAAGCACCTCTGTATGAAGCAAAGACTAAGAACTAGTACTGATTAAAAATGAGATGCAAGTACTTATTGTATTCGATAGTCAACGGATGAACAGCACGTTCCACTCATCATCGTACTAGCTTAGTGACCTTGTGTCTACTCCCTATAGAGACAGATCAACTATATTAAAGAACGTGCTACTGCCTTTATACATGCTGACAAGATTATATCGTTGAACGACGAGTTCTTCTGCTTCTGTAATTATTGTCATTTGTGTCATTGACTGTTAGGGAACATGAAGTATCTTGACAAGACAATATGTATATAAGCTTGTATTTTCGATTATAAACGTCTCTCATCAAAGTAAATTAAGAACTCATCCGATAAAATTGCAAGGACACAAGCGGTACTAATTTATTATGTATTAATAATTTGTCATGTTTATTTCATGTCATGAAAATGTTTCATTACTTATTTCCCAAAGCTTTACATTAAAATATTTAACATGTTCTATAAAACATAGTATTGTACATATGTTCTTCTTTGTTTTTTCGGTCACTAATTTTAACTATATAGAAACACAAACTATTCTTGATCATACTCATATTCGATTTTCTAACATTTACCTACTACTTGAAATATTTCGAATCAATGATCAAATAGACACCAACAATTTTTGTGCAAAGAATCTTGATTAATACTAAATGAACCAAATAGATCAAGTGATTACACAGGAGAATTGACAGAGCTAACATGTTATAAATAATAAAACAAATCGTTGTTTAATGTAAACTTATGCCAATACAAAAAAAAATGCATTTATTTATAAGAATATACAAGAAAAAGACTCGGAATATTGTTATAAAGTAAATGCTATCGTTGTAATCATTCAAATAGGACAAGTTATAATTGTATACATTGAATCTAAAGCTTCGTTTGTCTTATGCACATACTAGTCATCAGAATATGTATATATCCTTATGTTTATGTAGTTAATAATTGAAGAAAATGATCGAATACTACACTTCTTTTTTTTTTCTTTTCTCTGTCAAATTCAATTATAACATAAAAATTCAAATGTTCACTTATTCAATTATTAAGTAAAATTATATATAATGATAAAATGAATGTAATATGATTTGATTGAGATAATAATGATAGTATCTTGAATAATATTTGTCTTGATTCACAACTCTCCAATTAAATTAAATAGAAAGCAAATATTCGAAGGTTATTGAATATTCTGTAAGGCTTCACATTCAATGTCATTTTATTTATAGAAATTCTGTTTTCTTTTTTGACTTGTCTAATGATTCTCGATCTAGTATGCATTTCAAGAAACAATAATGGTAAGAACGTGAACATATAACTGCATTACTGATCATATTTTATCTTCATAGATTTGATACGGTCCGTTAAAAAAGAATAAGATTCAAGGCAAGGTCAATATGTATGATAGGAATACTGAAGTAGCACGTAATTCTCAATGGTTCAAACTTACAGAAAGAGAGAAAAAAAAAAGGTTCAATCTATTTTGTAGATTATATTATATCTATTATTTAGATGGTATCTATATTATCTTTTTTTAGTAAAATGGTTAGTCATATTTTGGAACTGCGTCTTATATAATCATGAGATTGATAAAAAATAATCTATTTGACGAATTTCTATTTCTTTTTTTGTCTAGAATTTAAAAGTATTAATAATTGAATGAAATATTAGGGTCAATAAAAGGCGAACTTGTTGATTTTAATAAAAAATAAAAACATTTTATAATATAGAATGTCAAACAGTAAGCAAAAATCTTCTTACCTCCTCTCATTTTTTTCCTATAGAACCGTATTGGTCTTAACTGAATGTTAGTTACAAAGATGGCTTAAGTACTTGATTGTAGTGTAATGTATGATTGATCACAATTTTCTTCAATGAAGAATATACATCTTTCAACACAGTTGAGCAACATTACAAATGAGTTAGTTGACAGAATATTTCACGACTGGGTTATCTACTTTTTTTTGTATCTGTTAATTGTTTTTCTGATTTAGATCACAAAACTTTTTGTTGTCGACTCGAAGTTCTTGAGAGAATGTCTTATAGACGATTATACAAATACGAATAAGGTAAAACTACTAAAACATTCAGAAAAAATAAAAACTAAGAGATAACCCAGCTATGGAGCAGTCTATCAACCAACTCATGTGTAATGTTGATCGAATGTATTCAATGCTGTACATTCTTTATTGAAGTGAGCCATAATCAATCATATACGACGCTAAAATATGGTATTTAGACTATTATTGTAACAAAAATTCATTTGATATCAAAGAGATTCGATCCGGAAAGAAGAAGAGAGAGGAAAAATTTTTCCCACGGTGTGTTCTAATATTAATATGAATTATCTTGAACTTTTTTTTATATTAATTATTGTTTATAATGGTAGAAGTGTTTGAACAATTTATTCTTTTTCTTCATCATTATTATCAATTAAATATGGAACGACATGTGAATCTACTATATCCTATAATTTCATATCTTCATAGATTAATAATCGCTTATCATTTTCTTCAATGTCACTCATTTTGCTACATAAAATATAAAATACGAACATTTGATCAACATGTAAGAATAAAATTATTCGGAAATTTGTAAATACTTTTCGATTGTTTATCGACCTCACGTCGTATAATCCATTCTGTCATAGTTTGATCTTTTTCAATCGAACCATCATTTTCAATATCAATATAATGATCAATATTATTCACGTTGATAATTCTAGTAGAATCTATGTAAAAACGAAAATTTAATAGAAACAAAGAAATTCATATTTAACAATACCTTGTGAAAACGCTTGTGTCGAATATTTTTTTGTTTCATTATGTTCTATTGATAAAAGTTTTTCAAAGCAATCATAAAATAATTTTTGAATATGAGATAACCATGAAAAATTACTAGCTCGATTTGTATCCTAAATTAATCAAGAAAAAATTTTTCTCAAACAAAATAAACTATTGATCATTACTGAATTTTTAATTGTTTGATCGCGTACAATTTGAATAGATTTAATAAATTAAGTTGAATTACCATTGATAATCTGAATACTATTTGACATACATTTAATTTCTGTACGAAGATTATTTAATTTTTGTATCCATTGAGTAAGATCATTTTCGAAAAAATTATCGAACTCTCGAGCTTGACGTAATTCTGAAGAAATTTTATTCAATGACTTTTTTCCATGATCTATAATATTATCAAGTATTTGATGTAATTCAATTCTTGCTTCTTTAGCTGTTTGTTCAATTTTATAAATAGATTCTTTTTCCCATTGATTAATTCGATTGAAAAGAATATGTTCATTCTGGTTTTGTGTTTTATTTAATAAAATGTCATAAAAAAATATCATGCTCTTGTTCAACATTATCCATTTGAGAAGTTAATTCTTGTCAATGTTCAGTAACATGCTTTAAACAAAATGATTGTTGACAACCATCACATGAAAAAGTTCCTGCACATTTATCACATTTTGAACAAGTTTTTTTCGAACTTGTGCTAACATGCATAGCCATAATACTTTATTCACTCACACTTACCGAGGACTAAAAAGATAAACATGATAAATTTTTGTTTATCATCATCACTTGACATAAATGCTTGTTTGCTTTATTACGCTTCAGTGAAGCGAACATCATACTAACTCTAGTTTAATGCAATCATAAAACATATAATACAAATATGTACATGGTTATAGTACTCGAATCAGGTTTTTTTCTGGATAATTGCACACTGTATACAAGATAGCAATTCTATATTTTATATAAGAGTAACTATAATCAAGAATCATTGTTAACGATCACTTGTATATAAATTGGTTTTTTTTAATAGTCAAAGCAAATAATGGATCTCTCTTACTAATGCTAAAAATATCTTTTTCTTTCTCGTAAAAACAAGCTATTTCCGTTACTTTTTCTTCAAGTATTTTTCAAGAAAATGTTTCTTGAGTATTAGAAAAATGTAAAGATAAACACAGATTTTAAATTCATGTGCCGCAAGATCTTTTTGTTTTAGTGAAAAATTAAAATATTTTCATTGGATATCTTTCCATCATTGATCTATTGAGTTATTCTTAATTCGTGATTTTATTAATTCATTTCAAAAAATTTTATTGGATTCACTAGAAAGCAATGAAACAATTTAATTTAGGAACACCATTAAGTAGACACAAAATGAAAATTAAAAAAAATAGAATCAAAAAAGAAAATCAACTTTTTATTAAAATTCTTAATATATACTGATCCTAGTAAATAGTATTATTTTGATTTGTTTTGTCGAAAAAAAAAGAAAAGACAGGAAAAGATTAAAACAATAACTAATTTGTCGCAAAAGTAACTTCTTTCGTCAATCGAAATTTAGTCGGTGTTCCTATTGGACGTAAAATACTTTTCGGTCGATCATTCAATCCTTGTGTAAATCGTTCATTATTTTCAGCGGATAATATGTTTGAATAATGATTAATTAATGATACAACTTGTCTATTTGAATTTAAAGTTGCATTATACCATGGTGAAATTGATTCATGACCAGCCCATGTTTTTTCTCGTCGAATTCCTACAGATGGACTTGTATGTTGTGATTGTGATATTGAATGACTATATCTTCCGGCAGCACTATTTGTTTCTTCTGGTGAAGGATTTGATGCTAATGTTCGATCACGTAATCGTTGTACAAGTTGCATCCATAGTTGATACGATAATTTCGGACTATTCTGTTCTTCAGACATAGAACTTGTTGAAAATAATTTTCCATTTTCGTTACGTGGTGAAAGTATAGCTGGCGTATAAGTAGATTCTTCAAATGATTTAACATGAAGATGATTACACACAAGCATGTTACATTTATATGGAGATTCAACACCATAAAAACATTTATAATTTGGAACACTAAAAATAAAAAGTTTAAAAAAAAAAGAACAGAGAAATTGAAAATAATTATTTCACTTTTTATCACTCGGTTTTCTTCTGATTGGTAAACTTCGTCTTTGATAGTAAAAAGCCCATTCATTTAATTTTGGTTCAACATGTTGTAACCATTGTTCACATGTCAAATGATACTCATCATCAATAGCAAAAGGTGATGCATCTGTATGATCAAGTAAGAACATTGCATTATTAAAACGAGATGATTTTATAGCTAATATTAGTGGTGTATAACCCATTTCCGTTTTGCAATCCATTGAAAGTCCAATTAATTTCATTTCACTAACAATAGCTGCAAGTATTGATGTTTGTGATGATGATGCTGCATGATGTACAACTAAATAACTTTCATGATCAGCCAGACGCCAATCAATAGATTTTGTTCGTAAAAAAAGTGCAACAAGTTTTGCACGATTTAATAAACATGCATAAACAAGTGGTGTTTGTTGTTGAGAATCGGTTGCATTTATATCGGCACTTCCTTGAAGAAGAAGACGTGCTACACGATACCCATAACGTTCTTGATCGGAAAGAACGGCTAAATGAAGTGGTGTTCGTCCATATGGATCTTTTTCGTTTACATTACAGCCAAGCTTATTAATAAGTAAATTTAATTGAGACAAACGACCATCTAAAATCACCTGATGAATAGATGCCATATGTTTGAATGTAAATGTGTAACACACTGATGGCAACAACGATGTACAATTGATAAATAAAGTATTGACTGTTTTTTTTTGCGTTCACCAAACAGAACGAAGCGTATATAGGATTAAAATAATGGAGTGCAAAAAAAAATAGCGTTGTTTATGTGTACATCCTTGTAAAAATGTAAAATGTCTCCCTTGATCTATTGTACTACAATAACTGTTTTGAAAAAAAAGGAGTATTCAATTAAAAATTGCAATAAAATATATGTATTTTCAATAAATTAATAAACCAAATATATGACGAGATTTATCGGCATTGAATACTGATGGTTCATTTGCAATAACTCATTTTCCCTGCAAGACAATCATGTTTGGATGAATGAACAATTATTAGCTCGGTTAGTTACTATTAACATATCGTCGAAAGATATATCTATATATTGCATATGAATGTATAAACAGATCGACAAACGAATAGCATAGGCAATTGAATTTATGAATTCTGAATCAGGATATGACGCACATCAATAGCGCTGAAAACCGAGGACAGCATAACAATAATACCAGCTGTTCGATCAAATAATAACACCTTCTACAAACATTCAAGCATTCTCTCGATTTGCTTTTCTACATTTTTTTTCTCACGATTATTTCTGCTTGGTCCGAGTTGCTCCTTTTTCTCATAAACATTGCTTGGAGCTTCTTTTATATATACCCGACAAACATCATTAAATGACTCCTTTTTTTTCTATCAGAAGAAAAAAAACGCATGTTTCCTTTTTTTTTATTCTGTATTGGTATACTACGATATAGATAAAGCGAACGCAACCACCACCACATAACGTCTTGCATTGCCGTTAAGATTGACATCATCGTCACTTGGAGAAAAGAAAAGACGAGAGAAAAAAGGTTGTAAGAACTGCACGCGGAGCAACAACAGCTTTTTTGCATTAATCAATAAGACAGTACTGGAATAACACAACATCGACAAAAAAGAAAAGATAAAATCATCTGGTGCACATTAGAAATGTAAAATTGTTTGAGTATTATTTTTGTTTTTTATTGCTCATATTATTCTTATAACATGTTTACACTTTTGCCATCACTTTATCTTGTTGCTGTTCATTATTTTCGACAATGGAATGCATCTTATTATTACGAAGAAAACAATGAAGAAGAGAAAACATCATTAGATAGCGATAATATACATAACAACAACATTACACAAACATCAAAAGATGTATCATCAAAAGAACTGATTAAAAAATGTGATATTACTCTTCTTCAACATAATCATGAATCATTAATAAATAATCACCAACCATGCACTCGTTCGGTTGTTAATGAAACGAATAGCTGCTTATCACATGTCAATAATGATAAGGATGATCAATGTAATGAAACCAAATTACATACAATAAAACCTAGTTTATCTTCGTCATTGTTAAACATCGAACGACGTAAGGTCTACACAGGTGATCTTGACGAAGATGATATGGTCTTTTTAATGAACGAGACTGGGTTTGCCCGTGAACAAATTTTATTATGGCACAGTGATTTTCTTGTATGTAATATATATATATATCTTATTGATGACAAAATATATTTTGTTTTCTTATCCTTCTAGCGTGATTGTCCAGATGGCAAGCTTTCCAAATCCAAATTTATTGGTATTTACAAACAATTTTATAAGAAAGGTCAAGTCGCTAAATTTTGCGAACATGCCTTTCGTGTATTTGATAAAGATGGTTCAGGTTCCATTGGTATGTAATAGTATTTTTTTTAAATCGAATGAATGCATTTACTTTTATTAGATTTTGCTGAATTTCTTCTTGCTGTTAGTATGACATCAACAAAAGATCCAGTACGAAAAATGGAACTATTCTTTTCTATGTATGATATGGATCAAGATGGTTTTATTGATGAAAACGAAATGCGATGCGTTGTTGAGGTATGTTTTATGACAATTATTTTTGTATATATTTCAAAAGAACCGCTTGTCAATTCATATTAAAAAAACGTGAATTATTATCTTTTCGTTACGTTTGACACAAAACCAAATAAGTCTTCTTTTTTTCTCACGTAATTGCTCTGACATTTTGATATGCGTACTAAAGTATTATTCACATATGAATGAATATTAATTGCTGTTTTTATTTTCTCTATTTTTCTTTTTTTTTCTAGTCGATCTATGAATTAATGGGTATCGATATACACGATTCAACAAGGATTGATATGAAAGTACGAGAAATATTTGCTAAAGCTGAATGTGATCAATCAGGATATTTGACAAAAGATCAATTCGCATTGGCTTGTAAAAATGATCGATATATTCGTAAACTTTTAGTACCAAAAACGAAAGCGCCGAATAATCGATGAAAAAAAACGCATAATTGAATCAGAATGATTGTATGTATACGATATCATATCGCATCGATTTTTTAATATCTAGAGCACATAGAAATATCTACCCTATGAGTACACTGTGCTAGTCATGAAGCGATTGGTTTTTTTTTCCCATGTATAAATAATTGTCGAAAGAAATAAAAAGACAAAATTTTTATTCAATAGATGCATATGTTTTTTATGTTAATTCATTTCTGATTTATGTTTCTTTTTATTGATTTAATCTTGAATGAAAATTGATCAATGAAATGGTTTATTTTCTGATGCAATATGATTTGTGTTTACCGAATTTTTTCTTTCTCAATGTCGATATCGCGTATTAGATTGCATATGGACATATTTTGAATGGTTTAAATATAATATTTCTCTATATATTGGTTTAACTTATGTAAACTAGATTGAAATATCATGATAAAAGTTAATTCTCTTTTTTCTCTTATTATTTTTAAAAGCTTTATAATTATGTCTTGTCATTCAAATGCAGACTTATGAAATATTTTAAAGATTAAATAGAAATTCTTGAAAGAACAAAGCGACTTATTTGCTTCTTAACAATATTTAATGACATTTTACAATTTTTGTATCGTTTTTTATCAATATTTTATCTCGCGGGAGAAGGCAGTTACTTCAAAGATCCGATTGACCCTTCCCTGGAGCTTGTGGCTATTGTACCACGCACTATGTGTTTGTGCTACCAAAAATAAATGTTCGCTCTCCCGGAGTTAAAACTGCACTTCCGGAAGAAAAAATCTGAACAAAACACAACTTTTGATAGACATTAAGATCATGAATGAACTATGTGATCAGTAGAATGAATGAACTTTTCATGTATTCGACGGAACTTTTAGATTATTAGCAAGAAAAGAAATCAAATTAGAATAGATTATGCAAATATTGTTTAGATTTTTCCCGCAAGAATTTTACATCCTCAGATAAACAGCTGTTCATTTAAAAAGATGCTTGATGACATTTTGATTGATAAATTCGTTATTTCTTTTCTAAGTTTGTCTATTCAATTAATGATTTCAGACAGTTCGATTTAGATCAAATCATAATTTCATTTTTTTGAAAATAATGTAAGATTATATCAAAATAGGCTATTGTGAATGTTTATCAAATTTATAATATTTTTTTTAATGTCAATTTTTATCGATTAATAACAAATTATATCCAAAAAAAAAATGATGATTAAACGAAAAGAAAAGGATTATTAATGGAAACCTTCGATTTATGATTACATTTTGAATCTCTAGTGCAAATCCATTCTATAGAGGAAACAAAATAAAATTAACCAGAGAAATAATGTCTGATTATTGTGATTAGTAAATAAATTTCCGGATGATGGAAATTCAGTCACAAATAATATTCTCTGCAATGATTTACATGTATCAGCAACATTTACTTTCAATCAAAAATAAATATTTTTATTTGTCATTTCGCTTGAATGAATAAAATTTCTTAAATATGAAAAGCAAACATCAAATTTCAAGTATTTCCATGACAAGTTAATGCATTGGAAAAGCCTACGTAGGCACACATATAATTATTTTAATAACATATAAATTGCACATGTCAAGTATGTTTCCCTATATTCATATTGGTGCATCTTTCAAATTAACACATCATATTAAGTTCATTTGAATAGTTCGAAATTAGCGGAAGTATCACCAATGGAAACATCTTTAGCATGATTAGACAAAAATATATTCTATTTCTATATTTAGAGAAAAATTCCATAATCATATCTTACTTTTTTAGTATATCATAACTATTAAGAAGAAACAAAATCATTTGTGAACGTTAATTTTATTTATCAAGAATTCAATTGCGCCTAATAAGTGAGAGATTTAGAGATATCCTTCCGAACTCTCCTTATAGTAACCCAAAAAGAGATGAAACTTAGTAATAGCAATTCAATTGAAATAAAGACACATAGATTTCGTTGTGAAACTATTTTTAATAATTTTAGAATATATTTTTCTTTCTATCTCACAAAGACAAAACGTTTTATTAATCATTACGAATTACGAATAAAGAATTGATCAGTAAATATAATCGAGTAAAATGTTTGTTTTGGTATGATATACTGTTGAACAACCGACAGATCTTTGTTGTTATTTCACCATTGACAAATTATCCAAATTGAAAAAAAGAAATAAACAGAAAAAATGAAATTGAAATGATATTATACGTCAATTATGTTCATCAAAAAAAGAAAGAAAAAAGAACATGAGAATTATCATTAGATAAAATCTGTATAATTTTTCGACTTAGTTTGATGCGGTCCCGCGAACAAAAAAAAGACAAAGAAAAAAACCCTTTAAAATCGCGCTTATTTATGAAGTAATAAGTAATACATTGAATATATATTTTATATGGTTATTCAAGAGGCAGATGGTGCAAGTAATTTTCTTAAGTAATCATCTTGTAAACAGCCAGTAACGAATTCATCTTTTGATAATTTTTGATCACTATTTATGTCCATTTTTGAAAATATTTGATCGACCTTCATTTCCGGTGAATTTGAACCTTTCTTTTCTTCACCAAGAAGATCATAAATAGCCTTGTTAAAAGAAAGCGATAATAAGTATTTAGATTTCAACGAAACACAAAAAAAACATAATAAACTTAATTCTTACATCCATGATCTTTTTCATTTCCTTTTTCTCAATATATCCATTACGATCAATGTCTGATAAATAATAAAAAATTTTCATAAATAAAAGATTAAAAAAAAGTATAACAAAAAAAAACAATAGAAAATACATACCATACATTGAAAATGCCCATTCTAATTTTTTCTTTGGATCCTGTTGAGCCGTAATTGAAATAGCAATTAAGAATTCAGCAAAATCTAAAATAATGATAATAATATTCATCATTTTCTTCTCGTTTTTGATAGTAAACAATGAATAATTTATGCATGGATTACTGGTTCGTCCGTTCATTCTTCTTTCAACGTCAAGTAGCATTACTGTTGATGGTTTAACCCTTGGAGAATATTCCCTATTACTTCGTATGGTTCATCTATTTTACTACTGTTAAATTACGTATTATAAATTGCTTGTTAGTTTTCAATGATTTTTTTCTCTGACTCTTAATATTCTTTTTATTCTCAAGAGATAATGAAACAAGATTTATTATTTCAAAGTTCTTTTTTTCTGATTTTGTTTTTGATACTGTAGTCAATAGTAAAATTTTTTTCGTACCTATATTGCCTGATCCATCCGTATCAAATGTACGAAATACATATTCACAAAATTTTTCAGCTCTTCCAGTTGGATAAAATTGTTTGTAAACTTCAATAAATTTTTTCTTATTTAGTTTTCCACTTGGACAATCTTTCTAGAAATTCACAAAAAATAAATGACAACATAAAATAATAGAAAATTGGTGTCATATTAAATGTGTTATCTGACATGTCCTTGAAATATACTATACGGATCATTTTTTTTTATGGCGTATATGTTACAACAAGTTTTCCTTTCTTTTTCTTACATATTATTTGCTTTTAATAATCACATCAAAATCTTGAAAAAGATATGTCAATTGAGTGATTTATTTCAAAATCAAAAAGAATTCTCCGGAAATAGGAATCTTTATATTCAGCAAGAGATTAGTGCATAGTGTTCTACTATTCTATTTTTTTCTCATTTTTTCCGCATATATTGAAGAGCAATCAATGCATACTAGTCAAAAAGAAACGATTGTGATCGAGTGGATTGTCAAGGCACAAATTCAGTTCATCCTTTCTTTTTCTTTCGTGCATTCTTATCTAATGAACAGAGTGCTCTAACGCAATAGTGACAATGGCAATACTCAAGCTTGCGCCTCAAGTAATGTGATCAGATGCATTGACATTGCTGATGCAATTAGACAGAGCGTAACTTTCTCTTCGTTGTTTGCCTTCCATCAATGGTAACTTTAATTTGAGTAAGAGAAAGAAAAAAAAAAATTTATGTCAGACATGGAAAAAAAAAACATGTTAAGTTTTGAACTGAAAAGAACAACAACAACAGCAAAATTCAATACAACTATCAACACATCTAACTTAGTTAATGAATAAAGGTTGTGCACATTCGTGTTTTGACTGGCACAATATTATTTGACAATATGATATACGAGTCAAGTGTTCATTTTATATTTATTTATATCTGATCAAGTAGATAGGAAATGTTAAGCATAATCCTTATGAATGAAGGCATGTGGAACATCTGGTCGAAGAAAAAGTTTACTTACCAAAAAGCCTGAATGCCATTCGCGCACTTGCTGTGGTGTAAAACCCGATAGATTACACAATTCAGTTACATCAGCCTCGGAAAGTGCCTTGCCTCGTTTAGCACGTGCTTCTTTATTACCCATTGATTTTGTTTTAGTCTATTACAAAAACTTGTACGTGACAAATAAAATATATTATAAAATCTGTAAGAAAAAAATAAAAATATATGAATAAGAATGAGGAATTAGTAAATTACGACGAGAATCGAAATAGAAATACAAAGAAAGGTGACAGATTGCTGGTGTAACGAGTGACTGTCTACATTTTCTTTTGCATTTTCACGTTTCAAATGAAAGAGAAACAAGCAGAACATGATGAAGAAAAAAAGAAAAATAAAGAGAAAAGAGAAGAAAATGAGAATGGAAAAAAAGAAAAGAAGAAAGAGAAAGAAAAGAAAATAGAGAAGAAAAGAGAAGAATAACTTCGTATTTGTTTATGATATGTCTTTTCGTTCATTTACTACTTATATTACTGATCGCATTTCTCTTAGTTCTAATTGAAATGCAATTATAATCGAGATAAATTTACTAGTTTGTTTTGTTCAATAATAAGAAGTTGAAAAAAAAATGGCGGCAAGCAAAAAATGTCTTCCATGTTTGATTAGTAATAACAGGTGGAAAAAAAATGTATATGTGTGCTAAAATAAGGTCAATATAATGACAAGAATATAAAAGAACAATAAAAAAAAAATTAGCAAAAAAAAGAATTCCATTGGAGAATAACTAAAAGACTTTCCATATAGAAAAATGGAAAACTACTTTTTTTTGTTTTTTTAATTTCTTAAAAAAGTATTAATTGATTTGATTCATTCATACACATTAAATATGTAATGCAAACACAGTTATTTGTATATATATTTTTCTGTCCTTGAAAAATACCGCGTCATTGAATATGTCCACCTATATAACGGTTCTCATTTGAGTATACAAATGAATAACAACTCGAATATAAATGAAAACAAGGAAGAAAGAAAATACACAAGAAAAATTTTACGCCCAGATTCTGTTCTCATTATGAGGATTCGCTTGATTAGTTCTCATCTCTCTCATTTTTCATTCGTGATATATATGTACATACATCATCTTTTTCTAAAAACTATTGTTCTCAAAAAAGAAATAAAAATATATCATTACTTATCACTTTATATCACGCTATTCAAGAAAAAAATGTTTTTTTTTTATCAGGTAGATTACAAAATTTTGAATCGTTTATATCAGACAGTAGATAATCGTCAACAAACACGTTTCTCTTTTTCCAGTCTTTTATCTGATGATACGTGTTTGCATGTTAATATGAGTGTCTGTGTGTGTTTTAGATTCAATCTTATTTTCTTTTTTCTCTCGATTAGTAATCGTAATACTCGTTAGAGAATGATTTTTTTTAGAACATTGCAGTTCTTTCGTCTTGTGTTGAAGCAAAAAAAAACAAGAAGCGACAGAGAGAAATTGCACGTGAGAAGCAAAACATGAAGCAATGAATATTGGATTATTTGCTTTGAGAGGATAAGATTAAGAAGAGTATTGATAATGGTCAATTGACATTTTGTTAATTCAAATAGCACTCTTTTTTATGGACTTCTATTGCATGTCTGTATTCAGCAAGAAAAAATAAAATTAACGTACACAAAAAATGGAAGAAAAAGAAAACGACATAGTTGCATTTAATTATCGTATCCTAACTAGAAAATTATTATAAATTATGTATAAAACTATTTCGATTTTTTTCTCTTTGTACTAAATGACAAATATCTTGGATACTATTATTGTTGTTCGATATTATTGATTTATCTAATCAGAAAAAAAAACAATATGAAAAGTTTATATCTTGTTACTATGTGATATTTGAAACCAAGGTTAATATTGAAGAATATATGAGACTTAAAAACACCTATATTGATATGAGGCAATCGGATATTAGGTGAAAGTATTGGATAATGGTAATTGTGGGTGATGTCATGTTGACAGAACTTCTTTCTCCTCATTTCTCGTCTTCTATTTGTTCAAGGATTTTTCTTGCGACTTTTTTTATTAGCAATCGTCATAAATCGAAGCATGTTAATGTGTCTTTCGACATGTTAGCATAATCCTTTCGAAACAAAAGTTCATGATAAATTATGTTAATTGGTTGAAAACGTTAATCTTTATGTGTTTGACTTCGAATAAAATGTGTAATTTGTGTAATATCAAGAAAAATATCAATCATTGTTAATTTTAGTAATAATACGAATAGATGGTGTCCTTCATTTTTTTGTTTTGTTTTATGATCCTGATACCGACGATGTTGTTTATTGGGATCCAGTTTTGTACAATAATTTATAAGATACTGTTGCTGCTGCTGTTCTTAGTATGATGTCATAAATTCATCATAGATAGTTTTCGTTCTTCTTTGTATTCTAAGTAATATTACACGTTTTACATCCGTTTGAGACAAGTACAATATGGAGAGTAAAATGATCAACAAGTGTACTACGAAGATCTTGCTGATGTCAAACTAAAAATATTCTGATATTTAAGTTATAATTTATTGATGGTATTTTTGAAGCATAAAGATAAGCATCATAAAAAATTTGTGCTTGTTGAAAAAAATAATAGTAGGAATAATATAAAATTTAATTAGTTTAATCGCTTATATCATAGAAAAAGAAATAATAATTGAATCTTGTTAAATATTCAATTGCTATTTGATTAATTAGATCATTATTTTTGTTTCTTGAAATCGTTTCGAACTATTGATTCTATTTTATTGTGAGTAATTGAAAGCTACAATATCTTAATTATGTTTAAACAAAAAAACAAACTACTAGAATCAACTTTTGTTTACTACAATCCAACATATACTTCCTTTTTTTTTCGTTACCAACAAGTAAATGTAACACATTTTGTATGCATATATCGTATGATAATAACTCGTTATCTTCTCATGAAAAACTAGGGTTTTAATTATGCACATATGACATGTATCACATTGAATTTTTCTTGTATATTTTCATCGTATCTTAGTTTTCGTGTAATCTTTAATTGAATTCGAAATTTATCCACAAGTCATGCTATGAAAATCATTTTTTCTTTTTCATCGATATATACATACATCGTTAATCAGAATAAAGAAAATTTCTTCTGTGAATGTCAGAATGATGAAGCACAATAAGAGTAAATGTGTGCATAGCTATGCTCTCTTACGTCTTTCTCGATCAATTATAACTGTTGTTGCTACTCATGTTTATTTATTAGTCCGATTCGAGACACTAATGCAAGAAGAATTAAAGTAAAAGAATCTCATATTTTGCTTCTATGTCAATGTACTTGGAATTGTAGCCATTTGTGCTGCTTTCTGTTTCATTTCTTTCGATCATTACCATGATGATGATAACAACGCCAATTTTCTTCCTTATTTCAATCACAATAAGTTATTAATCGAGTGGTGCATATATAAAAAAAATTCGTTCGTGCAAATGATTTGTCCGAAGTGTGGCAGATTTTTATTAGCACGCGAAGGCATTCTTCAAGCTGGTCGTAAGTATCATCGACATTGTTGGGCTTGTGGTGGGTTAATTACCTCATGAGAACTATGAATAAAAGATGTTTTTTTTATTACCATTTTCTTTTTAGCACAATGCTCATCACCATTGACTTCGTGGATTCGTCAACAACCCATAACTAATGAATATCTTTGTAATACCTGTCATATTAAAACACATGGATTAAAAGAAGGTATGATTTTTGTTAACTGGAACAAACAACAAACAAAATCAATCATGTCTTCGAACATACAGTAAATTTTTTATTTGCTTTTCTCAAACAAACAAGAAACACAAGAATTTGTTTATGTTTATTTAGACCATCAACGCTAATTGACGATATTCTACTTATTTAAAAGAATCGTTTACATATATTTATATTGAATTCGATTTCTAAGACTAATTTAAATTTTTTATGAGCATAATGTACTTCTTTATTTATAAAATGAAAAATTTTTCAATAAGATAAAACCACATGAAAATTAAATACTTATGAAAGTGTCTATGCTGTTCAATCAAAACACTATCAATAAATCAAACAATAGTATCTACTACAGTATATATAGATAAATACACATAATCTGTTCCTGCAATAAGCCTTTCGATAAATATTAAAAGAAAAATTTGAAAACTGTATTGACTCAAAACGTAATTTTTAATATAATACTTTACCTGAGATATAGCATAAACCGATTAAAAGTAATCTCATTCAATGTATACTTGTTATAATTTAGGGTATTCGAGTTTGAAAGATACTGAATATCATTGTCATGTGAAAACATATATATTCCTAACAAAAGAACTTGAAATATATTCCATTGACTGATATGAACAGAACTTGTTAAATTGTAGCTGAAAGAAGAGTTAATAATAATATTAAAAGTTGCAATGCAATTTATTCTAGTAGTTGATTAAAATTGTCAAGCCAAACACAAATGTATCATCAGTAGTTGACTGATGATATATCTACTGAGATATGTTAAAAAATTATCGAGCTATTATCATCATTGTTCATGTCAATGTTGTTTCTATTTGCTTTATTTTCATTATCTTTTACACGTAGATAATGATTTAAAGAGGGAAAAAGAAAAATAATGAATTTCTTACATTAGATTAGCTACTTAAATAACTAGTACATTGAAAATATAGTTTCCATATATGAGTCATTCCACATAAACCACGACCGATTTATAGAGAAGCTGCTCAATCGAGGTTGTCAGATCGGGCTCATTTTATGATATGTTATAGAGGCAAAAGTTTTAAGAACTTCTGTGAAAGATTTTTGAAAAAAATATTAAATCGTTCGTATTTTATGAAGACTTTACGGAAGACCCTAAAAATTGCCATTTTCATCAAGGGGGTTCTAAATGTGACCGTATCTAAATAATGGCTCTACGAATTGAACTCAAACTTTGTGTACAGACACAACTCAGTGAGTCCTACTTGTGATAAAATTTTTGTTCCGAAATATGGGACTATTCAATTTTTATAAGGGATCAAAAATAGAGAAAAAGAAGCTTTTTCGGTACGTTTTGGCTCTTATAACTTTTGATAGGGATGTGGTAGAGATCTAAAATTCCCACTATAGATACAACTCTCAAGGATCTATGCGTGCTGAAAATTTCAGTCAATTTGATTGACCTATTCGTCTGAAACAGGTCTTCCAAAATTGGACTTTTGATAAAAATGTCGATTTTCAGGATGGATTATCTCCCAAGATATGGTTCGCCTAGGGAGCTGGACCTTATCGTTTGAAAGTACTCTCGATGGACTACAACTCTATATGGAAATCGGCGTGGGATATCCAGAATTTGCTGATTACGGAGACCATCTTTCCAGCCAAATATTAAATTTTTGTCTATGAGCCATTTCATATAAACCACAACCGCTGCATAGAGAGGCTGCTCCGACGAAGTCTTCAGATGTTGCTCCATCTAAAATATTTTGATAGAGAAAAGAGTTTTGTGGAATTTGGCGCAAGCCGTTTTGAGAAATATTGACCTGTTGAACTTTTATAGCTATTTTACGAAAAGCCCTAAAAATCCCGTTAAAGTCGTGATTTTGGTGCAAGTCATGATTTTATTAAAAGATCCCTAAGCGATAGAAATTATATAGAGAGCTGCATTTTTTATCAGGATACATACTCAATGAAGTTAATCTGTGATTAAAATTTCAGCGCTGCATCATGATCTGTTCATGAGATTTGTATACCTGACTGGATCCAAATATTGATTTCGGGACCCTAAAGATGATCTTTGCTGCAAGCCATTTATGGATAGTTCAGGCTGATTTTGCTATGAAGCTGTACAATTGAAAGGACTCTTCCAACTTCTTAATCTCAGTTCTTAAACAACCTGGTATTTTAGAAGAAAACTCCATCTGAACATCGCGATTTTCATCAAAAGTCCACTTTTCGAAGAGCTCTAGAGGTTGAAAGAAACCCTCTATTGTGCTGAAATTGTTAGGAGATATACAGTGCTATAAATTCTACCTCAAATAAAAATTTCAGACCTCTATCATATTTCTATTACGAGTTGTGAAGTACCAAATTTGCCCAAAATATTAAGTATTTCTCATTTTGGATGAGTCATAAAAAAATGAAGGGCTCTATATTTTGACCTGAAAATTAAATAGCGGCTATAACTCGTCAAAATATATACTCATAAAATATTTTAGCCCAATCGATCATTCTATTTTTGAAATATAGATTTGTCAGAACGCTCTTGACGGAGATGCTGATTTTTAGTGCTTTTCGTAAAATAGCTATAAAAGTTCAACAGGTCAATATTTCTCAAAACGGCTTGCGCCAAATTCCACAAAACTCTTTTCTCTATCAAAGTATTTTAGATGGTGCAACATCTGAAGACTTCGTCGGAGCAGCCTCTCTATGCAGCGGTTGTGGTTTATATGAGGATGTGGGTGGGGTGTGGGTGTGGGTGTAACTCAATTCTAACAAGACTTCACCCACACCCACACCCTCTGTCTCGTATTTTTGATTAACCTGGAACATTCGTGTATCTCTCAGTGACTTATCCATTTTTCTATCGTTATACCTTTGTGTGCGTCTCTGTTCTTTTTAACATATGCTTCCTTTACGCGATAAAATTTATTGAACTGTATTGCCGATGCAGAAAAAAGTACAACAAACAACTAGAAAACTATTGTTGTTCAACACACTACTTTAGTCAACATTGTTTTTACATTTTCATCCAGAGTTCAAAGGGTCGGGCAATTACTGGTGAATTGAATGCTGTTAAACGACTTCATTCCGGTTCACATTTATTTATTGATTAAAAAAGGAACTCAACAATTCACCAAGTCATTTCGCATGGATAAACAAAACTAAAGAGTTAATTCTTTGGTATTATATTAAAAAGAACTCTATATCAATGAAAACGATGCCTCAACAGTGGTTCGCATTATTATATATGGCTGAACGGTTAGATAGCTAGCAAAAATAGATTATATTTCAATGCTTACGGCTATAAAACTGTTGTTTTCTGATTTTCTATGGCCACATGGCGGACCTTAAACAGCAGTGTTTTGATCAATTTAGGTACAGTTGGTATCTATTGTCTTCGGATAAGAGTCATCCATTGTAAACTTGTCCATTCTCCAGTTCCTTCCCTCCCCCACAGTTCTGCATGGTTGAAAGAAAATGTTTCAAGAACAAAGACAAAACAGTCGAATTCGTGCAAGCACTGTTAAACATAAAAGTTTCGTAACACAGAATGATTAAAAAAAAGAGTAATGATATTCTATTCTTATTCATAGTTGCTTTTAATTAATTATCAATAATCAATTGACATATTAATGCATTGAAAGTATGTGTTTCGATTAGTTGCAAGTGTTCAAAAAAATAGACACATCATTAGACAATTCGTTAGCCACTGCCAAATCCAGCTTGTTATCGTTGTTAAAATCACCTGATATAATGAAAAATGGTTTGTTGTCCACCAGATACTTGTATTGAGCACAATATGTTCCATTCCCGCAGCCGAGCACTACGTTGATATAGCCTTTGTCATGGCAGGCTAGTGCCAGGTCCAATTTGTTGTCGTTGTTGAAATCGCCTGATATTATGGATCGTGAACTGCTACCAACCGTATAGTTTATTCTATTTTGAAAAGTTCCATCTCCATTGCCAAGCAGCACACTGACGATGATTTCATCTGAATTGGCCACTGCTAAGTCTATTTTATTATCGTTATTGAAATCACCTGACACAACAGATGTTGGGTGATTGCCACTATGATACTTGGTGTGAATTCGAAAGATTCCATTCCCATTGCCAAGCAACACGCTAATAGTGTCTTCACCTGAGTTAGCTACTGCCAGATCGACTTTGCTATCATTGTTGAAATCAATTGATATAAGAAAATATGGACTGACACCAATTATGTACTTTGTTTGATTCTGAAAGGTTCCATTTCCAGTGCCAAGTAGTATACTAACGGTGTTTTCGCCTTGGTTGGCAACTGCCAAATCGAGATTTTTATCATTGTTGAAATCGCCTGATGTTAAAGAAGATGGATTGTTGCCAGTCCAATGCCTCACTTCACTCTGGAAGGTTCCATCCCCATTGCCAAGCAATAAGCTGACAGTATCTTCGCCATTGTTGGCCACTATAAGATCCAGCTCGACATCATTATTAAAATCGTTCGATATTATAGAAGATGGTCTATCGCCAGTCTCGAATTTGTTTCCAGTGTAAAAGGTTCCATCTCCATTGCCGAGCAAAACACTAACAGTACTTTGGGCTGAGTTGGCCACCACCAAGTCTATTTTACTATCATTGTTGAAATCACCTGACGTCAAAGCCGTTGGTTTACTGCCAGTATGATATTTTATTGGACTTCGAAAAGTTCCATTCCCATAGCCAAGCAATACGCTAATCGTACCTTCACCTTCATTTGTCACTGCTAGATCCAATTGGTTATCGTTGTTGAAATCACTAAATAATATATAAGATGGTTTACCGCCCGTTGTATACACCATTTGTGACTGAAAAGTTCCATTCCCATAGCCAAGCAGCATGCTAAAAGTCGTTTCCTGGTAGTTAGCTACTATCAGATCCAATTCGTTATCGTTGTTGAAATCACCTGATACTATGTATTCTGGATTACCTCCAACCGTACTGTTTATATGACTCGAAAAAACTCCATCCCCATGGCCAAGCATTATACTGAGAGTGTTGTCGAAGAAGTTGGCAACTGCCAGATCTATTTTTTTATCGTTGTTGAAGTCACCTGATATTATGGCTTCTGGAGTGCTGCCAGCTCTGTATTTCATTTGATTCTGAAAGGCTCCATTCCCATTGCCAAGCAAAATGCTAACATAGTTTTCGCCTGTGTTG